ACATCCCATTCTGGATGGAAATTATTTGGCATGTTATCAGTAAAACAAAAAAAAAAAATCGGAGCAGCTTCGGCCTCCAGCAAGTGAGTTTCAGTTAGACACATCCCTCGGGGTCAGAGAAATTTGATGCTCCTTTTATGCTGTCTGAGGTGGCATGGGGCCGGAGGTAGACCACCTTTATAGGTCATGTGATATGTGGGTCATCTTGGGGCCCACACAGCAGATCACCAGGATCAAACACTCTTTGATTGGCTCTTTGACTCATTGATTTATGGGTAGTGAAAGGCAACAGGAGTTCCACCGTTACACATACAGTAGGGATGTTTTACACGGCAGTCGGTGACTTGCAGCTTTTAACTTAACGATGACTCAGTTAAGGAGGTAAGGTAGTAAAATGATTAAATGATTCCCGTAACTCTAAAACGGAGTACTTGTTAATTATGGTGAGGTCAGGTGGCAAATTCCACCCAAAATCAGGTCAGTTTGAGCTCTTTGTCACGTCTTTAAGTATAAAACCTGTTTCCTGGAGCTGTGACTTCTGAACGCAATCTGTCTTTGTCAGAGTTAGTGATTGCAATATGTGCACCTTTGTGTTCCTCTGCATGCACAGAGTTCAAACATGTCTCAAACCGCTTTTGATCACGATGTGTTCATGTCATTTTCCAATTGTTTAATGGAGACTTAATGCTACACTAAGTGGCAGGTTGTACATGCCAGATAGGAAATGAGTCAAAATTGACAACCTGTTATCTCCAGCCTTTACTTTCTGTCTCACCCAGCACTGCTCTTGTCTCTTCTCTCTCTCAGAGTCCTGCTGTCCAGACCAGTCCAGCCTTGCAGCTGAGAGATGTATTGTGGGTAACCGGTGCAAAGCCCCTGAGATGATTACAATGCACGCAGGTATGGAAAAGGCACCTACAACTTTTTTTTTACAAGGGCCCTGGGGCTTCAAGGGCCATCTTCTGTGCTAGAGGCTTATCACCTCTGCTCCAACTCTCAGCTGGCGTGAACGCCTTCAGAAGGCAACACCATGATTTTGAACAATTAGTGTGTCCCGCTGGACTCGGCAGCCAGACCTGCACATCAGTTTGATTCACATGCAGAAGCCTGTATGTCTCTCAGGCTGTCATTAGGGGACACTATAAACATGGTGCCATCATATAACCTCATATAACCTCACCTAACAGTGAGCTGTTAAAAAAAGGCTCCTTTGCCAAGTATGATGGTGGAAAAAAATATTTTTCCCATCATTCTTGAAATGAACTAAGCTGTGATAAATGGTGATTAGTTTATGCACTGAACAAATTGATTCAGAGTCAATAACTTTTACCTTGACAAGTGCCATTTGCTATGCAGTATTACCACACAGTTACTGTATTGTGTTATTGTAAACCAAATGATAGCAAAATTTCACACAGCTAGTTATACATTTTCAATCTTACAGAGTACCCAGAATATTTAGTAGGCCTATTCAAGCATGGATAAGTCTACTTTTGAATATTTTATTTAAGGTAAGTAAACTGTCATTGGCACAAAGAGAATTCCTCATGCACTGAACCCCCAACATAGATCATCATCAGATCACCAGGATCCTTAAAGTCGGTGAAACTGGTTGCTATACCTCAGAGAAATTAAAAAAAATATGCATACTACATAAGCAATGTTTGCACTGAACACCATTTTGCCTTTTCCCATAGATAAACAACAAATTGAATTTTTCTGTGTCATTGTTTTTTGTCTCACTAATAATGTAGACTTTAACTCTTTATCAGGCACATTCAGATTAGTTGTTGTCCTGTTAAGACAAACCGGAAGAGACACGTCTTATCCCACACTGCTGGGAGTTATAATCACTGCCAGGCAAAAGATTACCTACCACAAACACATGCACACACGCCCTCGCGCACACACAGACACACAACTCCCTCAGCTAAGCCCTCCTACCTATGTGGCAGTAGCCAATCGTAGTGATTATTAGGCAAGAGTTGATAAACTGTGGTCTGGCCTCTCCCCCGTGTGGAAAAGCCAACAATTAACAGTTAACCACTGATTCCTGACTCTGCAGTCAGGTAGTCCTGTTAATCAGAGAGCACCCATTTTCATTTTAGATTAACTCTATTTTTCTTCACACAAACTTCATGATAAAAACACTCAACCACATTCTTTTTGCAACTTATTCTAACTTTGATATTATTATTTTTTTCCCTGTCCCAAACTGTCCAGAGTGGCTGAATGGGGTGGATGGGAAGCACTCCCTCATATTATTGACAGAAATGTGTTGTTGGAACAAACAGTCGGCTGTGACTCAAATTCAACCAGAGACATGTCTGAACCACCCCGTTTCCATTGCGCACACTTGGAGACGATTGGTGCGCCCTGCACAGGGCATCAACAAGAAACCTAACCATCAAAGGTTGTTGATTATATTTGTAGCTCATATAGCAAGCCATATAACGATATAATATATGGTGACACACTTATGATAAAGGTTTGTGTTTGGCATCAGTCATTTTTCATGTGGAAACATCAGATTTGGAACTTGTCTGGAGTGAAGACGCACTGACTCTAAAATGACATATTACCTGCACAAATGAGCCACGTGATTTCGGATCAGTCTGATTGGATGAGAGTACAACTTTCAGGCACAGGACCAAATTAAGTCGCCCCCCCCCCTCCTCTCCAAGGTGTCTCATTCACTTTTCAGATGGGCACTCTGCCCCTCCTCTCTGACACTGACGAAATAACAGTGTGCGTTAGGCAAAATTGAACTTGTTGCTTGCCAGCACTTCACGGTTTCTGTCGCTCCGTTCAGGACCAGGATCATCCCGAGGTAGGACCCTGCAACTCTGGAGCATCAAGAGGAAGAGAAAGGCGCACCGGGGAGATAAGTGCTGCTGCGCCGACTTGGAGTGGACATATTTGGGCACTTTTTACGCACCCATGTTACGCACTGGGACTAACTGGATTTAAGGACATATATCGATATTTGTGTATTTTATGGAATGAAACACATGTCAACGTAAGTATTTTTCATTTTTGTTTTTTTATTCAGTCTGAAATGAACTATGATTTGAGATTATTGCTGTAAACCAGATAACTGGCAATGGATGCAATAATTGGTTGAGTGTTTTCTAAATATATTACATTATGATATAGAGGCACATAAACAAATAAATATATTTCGGTTAACTTGGCAGTCTAGAAATTGTTTAACATGGTCGCACCCAGTGATGCCGTGTTGTCCTCAGATAACCTACACTGTTGCTGCCGAGTGAGGCAAGTGAATTTCCGAAGTCTGCACCGCGAATCGGGGATTACTCCACAGTTTAAGTGGCAAATTAACACTTTACAATTTAAATTTTGATTATTTAATACCATATTAGTCGTATTTCTTTTGAACAAGCAACAGATGTTTCTGTGGAGGAAAGAAAAAAGGAAAAAAGTCACCGAAACGGCACCGAAGCAAAAAGTTTTCAGTCAGCTCCTAACTTTATGACAAAATCAGCATTTTAATTCCCATAGCAGATATTTATTGTTGAGCATCTCCGAGTTGCACATAAAGGACCACTGGCTCCAAAAATCTGCTATCAATTACACGCCACTGAGATGCTTTAGTGCTCTTTCTTTGAATGACTCTTTTTTTTTTTTAGATTTCCTAGAAACCCTTCTGCCACTGCCTGCAGTTTACGCACACCTCTCCTCCAGTATAAAAGATACTTTTACATAAATCTGAAACACACATGCAGTAGCAGATGCAGCATTATTAAACCTGGGCATCCTTCTCTTACTGTCTCCCCAATCATTTTATTTACTTTCCATTAGGGTGGGTCCGCTGACTTGGGGTAGACTAAGTCACAATCACAGACTCCACACCAAAATATTTTGATCTTTTGTCATCACCAGTTGCCATTATATAGAGCGAGTGTCTCGTTTTAATGGAGTACAACAGTCTGCAGCTCACACTGCGACCCACCACTTGTGTTTATACAGTGGGGTGGAAATGAGGACGGGGCTCACTGCTGCTGTCCTCCTGTCTCCAGAAGCTCTGCAGTCCGACCCCACAGGAGGTTTTACCTCAAATCACTGAAAACACAAGCTTGGGTCATTAATTATTGCTATTATTTATTTATTTATTTGAATCCACATCTTATCTCTAATAGTAACAAATGAAAATCTGTGTCCAGTGAATGCCTTATCACAGGTAAATGTGATGTCCTTTGCATTTAAGAGCTTTTTAAAGTGTTGGCATATTTTTAATTTGTTGTATTATTAACTATAGTAGAAAAAAATCTTTATAAAAGTTTATTTATATTGGTAAAAGTTAAGATTATGTATGTATTTGTTAAATAAAGGATGGAAGTCTGTATATTTAATATTTATTTTTGCAATTTTCAGATTAAGAATAGATGTTACACCATTTAATTCTTCTCTAGCCTGTACATGACTGAAAAGATCTTTATACTTATCTTTGTTACTGAAAAATGTATGTGGATGCACAAAATAAATAGAAATTAAATGTAAAAGAAATACCATAAAATGTAAAGACCTTGTATGAGTTGTTTCCTAATGTACATTTTTAATTTTTCCCACAGATGATACAACATATAAAGTATATCCTGTGGTTATACTGTCTCTGTGAAGCTGCAACTGTGACAGGTAAGTTTTGAATGAGTTATGCTTCCCTCCTCCTCCTCCCCAGCTCTCCCCGTCTGTCTTAATTTCTTTATCTCCCTCCCTCTCTCCCTTTCCCTCGCTTATTCTCATACCCTGTCCATCCCAGTAAGTTCCGCCAAAGTAAAGTCATTTGACATGTTCACATTCAGCTGGCGTCCGTACTCTATGGCTTATCTGCAGCAAACTGACTGATGTGTCAGCGGTGCCTCGCAGCATTACGGTTTCACTCTGCTCTTAAAGTAGCAGTCTGTGATAAGACCCTTCCAGTCTTCTTCCTGTGAAACCTGCGACACTTTACTCAACGGTGAAGATGACAGTGTTGGCCAATGAGGTTTGCGTTTCGGGCCCCGCTGGTCCCCCTGGACATCCTGGCCCCCTTCTGGTCTCTGGGTATGGATGGACACCTTTCAATTAGACTCCCAGTCTGGAAATAACAGCTGGTTTCTCCCCTCATCCTAATAAGGCCCTCTGTTAAAGCACACATGCCTCTGGGGCTGTCCCACCACTGATTCCAGACTAGAGCATTCCCCACATTGTTCCCTGTGACACCCGCAACCCCCCTCTCGAAGAAAGAAAAAGGTTAATTCTGCCCCTCTGCAGGGCAAGCGTGATTCAGCCTGTTGCCATTTATTTGTGTCTGGCGTCCTGTCTGACATCCCCTCTGCATTGCTTCATCACATAGAAGTGGCGTGAGACTCGGATACAGTCAGCTTTAACTGCGGACAGACCACGGTGGGGGGGAGGGGGTTTACACACAGTATCAGTTAACCACGTCTGGTTAAGCCGTAGTGTAATTCATCACTGTTTGCAGTGTATTCAGACTGTGGGAATAGATTAAATATCCTTACTCAGCGGCGACGTAGGTGTGGAACATCGGTAATCTTCAACTGAGAATAGAGTAGGAGGTCACGAGATGGGAGATACAGCACGCTGATGACATATCTCACTTCGTTTTATGTGGGTCTACCTGTCATCATCATGTAGGTGAAGGAGGGATTATTGCAGAAAGAAAACTAACATGCACAGAACTCAGCAGTGGCCTGACATGAACTGATGCAGCCATTACTCCACTTTTTAACCAATCATCTCCATACAGACATGCTGAACATACACTGCCGTCAGTGCTGAATGTGTTCCCACACCCATCATTTTAAGGATGAGGTTTGACTTTCCAAGAGCCATTTGTGGGCCATGATGTATGTTTTCTTTTATTAGGCTGGGTGTAGTTGTCACACCCCGTCAATGTACGGTGAATGAGTCGGGCAGTTTATAGTGTCTACTTGCATCTGGTAGAATTAGAGTTAACAGAAGACATTTACAGTATGATACAGTAATAATACAGTAGTGAGTGTGTCTGTATGATTTGAAAATGCATTTAACCCTTTTGCTTTTCTTCTTTCAGCCTTCAACACATTATCGATAATCAAACCGGTCACTGGGTCACTCTCGGGGAAGGTCAGTCTTCCCTGCTTCTTCTCCATCATCCCAACCTCAGCACCGGTGATCAGTCCCAATGGAACTGTCGTTTATAGCAGAGATTACTTGCGGATCAAATGGACCAAACTAAATGGAGAAAATGAATCCACTGTGCTGGTGGCGCAGAATGGCGTCATCAAAATAGGCTCCATCTACAGGAACCGTGTATCAGTGCCCAGTCACCCTGAGGATGTAGGTGACGCCTCGTTGACAATGGTCAAGCTGCGTGCCAGCGATGCCGGCACCTATCGTTGTGAGGTCATGTACGGCATTGAGGACACCCAGGATACAGTTAACCTCGATGTGGATGGTGAGACATTCATGATATCCTTCCTCCGTCATACATAAGAATCTAAACTTGCTTCCCCAACATTCTCTGAACGTAGAGGGGGATTGCTGCAAGGGTTTAATAATAGTGAAATGCAATACAAGTGGTGATAGAAATGTAAACGATATGAAAGAACTACGGGCGCCCTTCTGCTTACTTTGATAGCAGCAGCTACCCGGTAGTTACGCAGAGTAACCACAGTTTGCAGTTCTTATTTTAGAGCCGACACACTCTTAAGAAGAGATGAGACTCTGGGTCCCTGTCCATACCAAGTACTGCAGTGTTTTAATTCCAGTGTTCAGCCATCTAACCCAATAAGCCATTGGAGCCCAAATACGGATGGTATTCCACATGTTGGCAGAAGAAAAGCTGTGTTATAACCTCACCCATCCCTGTCATCTTGGGTGCCACCTTGTCAGTGGGGACTTTCCTCTCAGTGGGTGTTACCAAACCTTTTTACTTCGCTTTTACTTAGTGATAACAACATTCCCCAATATCCCTCCTCAAATTTACACAAGTGTCAAATTATCTATATGATGATGCAACATTAGTGCAGCACTCTTCGTGGGAGGGGGGGGGCTCTTACCTAGTGTCATTATGTGCACTCTAAGTGTCACTTGAGAAGTGTTCTGGGAGATATAACTCATGTTTTGGGGATGTAGAAAACATGGGTGGGGTGGGGGGACACTGGGATAGTTTTGGTTTTCACTGCTTTACAATCTGCACAACCTCTTTTCCAACTATCTGCTATGTTAATTAGGTCTATCAATCATATCTTCTGCGTCTGTTTGCTGTCCACAAATATGGGGATTTCAGGGCCATGGCATCATCTGCACTTATCTTGTTCATTTGTGGTGAACTGTAGACTATTTTGCTTATCCTTTTGGTTTATTGCAAAGTTCCTTCTTTCCAAAGAAGCTGGGAGACTCAATTATTTCACCCGTGGTGTGTGCTTTATAAGACATTTGACATAATTTACAGCGCTGAAATTATGCTGATGAATTCCAGATCACTATGTTCTTGTTTCTATACGACACTTCATTAAGTTTCGCTTTTAGATGGTCATTTTTTTTCTTCTGTTTGTTGCCAGGTGTTGTGTTTCACTACCGGGCAAACACCAGCAGGTACACTTTGGACTACCAGAAGGCTGTCAAGGCTTGCCAAAACATTGGAGCAACCATTGCTACATATGACCAACTGAAAGCAGCCTATGAGGATGGCTTTGACCAATGTGATGCCGGCTGGATTGCCGACCAGACAGTGAGGTTAGCTGCCATAAAGTCATTTCTTTCAGACAAAACAGTTATTCAATAATATACCTATGTGCTATAATCATAAAATGTTTGCTTTTCTGTCTGTACAGATACCCCATTAGAAGGCCAAGGGACGGCTGCTATGGCAACCTAAAGACCGCACCTGGCGTTAGGTCATATGGGACCAAGAAACCCACGGACACCTATGATGTATACTGTTACGTAGACAGACTTGATGGTGAGTCAGCCACAAAATGAGGCTTTTCTTGTTCTAAGCGATGAGGTGTTGCATAGAGGCGCTGGCACGCCCTCTGAGATGACGAAACCTCCAACTGATCACAGTGCCAAAGCAAATAACTTTAATAGCTTATAAAAAACTGTGAAAATAAGTTTAATTGTATTGTTTGAATACTGCGTTGGTGACAATGTGTGATCTTTTAAATATTTTGTCGCGCCAGACTGTTCCATGTGTTGCATAAAGGGAGTTAAAGAGGAGCTCCTAATAATTTGACTCTAGAGCAGAAAGTGAAATTCATTCTTCACCATAATGGTTTTTTGAAGAAGTCTGCAACCAAAATGTGATAATGGGGTTTTAAATTTCTTTGGCACTGTTTATGGGAAGTCCTCACATCTAAGCCAGCAGCCTCCGTCTGTGTTCATTATCCAGCTTGTTACTGCTGATGGACTCAACTCCACTTAAAGCGTTTTATGAGCGTTAACATCCCTCTTGACACATCTTTAACTCCAGTCAGGCCTCTGTAGTTGCTCGTCTTATCTGGGATTCATACAGTGCAGCTCTGCTACAGCCCATAACATTAGTTTCAATTATTTCGGCACAAGTTTCAAATCTATTCATTTTGAATGCGAAGCCATCAGTCAGTACTATCACATTTGTATTATTTGGGTTATTAAGCAGATGTAGACAATGGTGTCAGCCAGGGAACGTCACCCTGCCCCACAGCCACCAGGGACATGCACATACGTCTTCCACTTAGCGCCTCGCTCTTTCCAAGAAACTATACATGCAGCTTTGACCTCACTGTATTCTGGACCAGTTGTGCATGACAGATAGTTGTTCCCTTTTTTTGTGTCACACAGATACATGAAAACTCTCAAGTTAAGAGTTAACTGCTTTGATTTACTGATTTGGATCATTCATGTGTGTATTAATTAGTGATTTAAAGTCGCATAATGCACTTTTTGCCTTAAATAGATAGTTTAAAGCAGAGATTGACCCAAATCATGGAGGGGAATGACGGGTATAAGGTCTTCTTCTGGAAATGACCCAGGGACATTGTGGTTACATCATTATGCCGGCACACCACAATGCCCTGGATATTTAATATAGTAATGTTAATTAATGTCAGCTCAGTTTTCGGTCCTTTTATATGTTGTACGAAAACAGACATGTTTGGCTGATGTGGTTTGATGTCCTTTGAAGCTGATGGAAATAGCAAATGCTTTTAGCTAACCATAGCAATTTAGTTTAAATCTATGGTGGCTTTAGGATGCACGATGAGTTAAAATTGGTTTTATAATCATGTAGTTTAGAAGAGTTTGAGGTGTAGATAAAAAAAAAGTTTATTATTATAACCAATAACTTTCTGGTAAACACTGATATATTTTAAAGGGCAGAAATTGTCCAATAAAACGACCATGTAAAAACAGTTAACTTTGGTTGTTAAAAAAGTTTGTGCAGGATTTCATGTTGCTTTTCTGCTTTTAAGAGGGAAGACATGTCTGGGTGGAAAGCATCTCCTAATCTCAGTGCCATTGTAAATCAATGGGATGAAACCAACACTGGATATTTGAAACGTTACGCCCAAGACTAACTGAAAACATGTAGTCAGTCAGACATCCCTTTTTTGTAATGTTGTTTGGTTTCAATTAAGATCTCGCCCTTCTGTAGTCTTTCACTTATGTTATCCTGCAGGCAAAGACAAATCCTCATAATTGTCACAGTGCAGTGACCTTTCTGAGGAAAAGACCCTCACACGAACAGCTTGAGGGAAGGAAACATAGAAGGTGTAATCTTGTTCACTCACCCTGGGGGGGAAACCTAATGTCCTGAAGTACAGACACATTCATTGACAGGCTCGGCGCATTGTCTGCATTGCTAACCCACCTCAGATTAATATAATGAATGAACTACTGTTTTCCTAAATATGATCGGTGGGAGATATTTTGGGTCTGTGCCCTGCACAGCTGTGACTTTGGTCAGCTGTTTTTGGGCTACGTCTCTTCTGAAAGGTCAAAATGGTCCAAAAATCTGTAGCTTGAGATTACTGTATAGTCTTTTAAGATGTTTATAGCTCAGATAAAATAAGGAATGACTTTCCATCTGTTAGTGATGCGACACTGATTCATGCCAGTGTTTGTGGGATTGGTTGAACAATTGAATCCTCTGTCCTGGGTGTCTGCTTAGTTAGAGTAATCATATTTTGTTGCCATGATCGCAGATGATTTGTTGCCTTTGAGTTCGTGCTTTTTGCTAACTCTTCATTGCATTTTGCCATCTTTATTTCAGGTGAAGTGTTCTATGCTCCCGTGACCCATAAGATGACTTTGGAGGAGGCCAGTGCAGAGTGTAAGAAGAGGAATGCAGTCCTGGCAAGCCCCGGCCAGCTCCACGCTGCCTGGCGAAAAGGTCTGGACAGATGCGACTATGGCTGGCTCTCTGATGGCAGTGTACGACACCCTGTTGCAAGAGCCAGGATGCAATGCGGGGGAGGTTTACTCGGCGTCAGGACCATGTACCGCTACAGAAACCAGACTGGCTTTCCAGAACCGACGAGGAAACTTGGAGCTTATTGTTTTAAAGGTAAACTCACTCACAGTCTTGTTGTTAGTGTTTAGTATATTTATAGTATGTCATGGAGCAAAGTGTTGCCTGCATGTATGTGTTTAGACTGTGGTTTCGACAGTGACAGACAGTGGTCGAAGGCACAGACCATTCCCTGTCAAAACCAGGCCTGGACTGTGAGGAGCTATGATCTCATCTCTTTTTTGCCTCTGTTCCCCCACCCTTTGATTTTCTGCTTCTTTGCATCACTGTACACATTCCCACATCTGAACCAGACCAACATTTTGAAATGCTTACAACCTGTCTCATCTTTTGTCTATTGTTCTGGAGGGAAGATTTTCCCTTGGAGCATTGCATGTTGTGTGCCAGACAAGTCGTCCAGACTGCAGTGTCCAGTTGACCTCACTATCTCACAGTGAAGTTCCCCGCCCGTTTCTTTGACAAAAAAAATTAGCCAAGAGGAGAGTAAAATCATAGTGGTAAACTGTGTTTACTTTAAAAGCAATGGATGAGGCAGTTCCTATTCTAATGGAGGGAATTAATGACCAATAGTTTGCTTGAGAGTTTGTGAACAGTCAGTATCTGTCTGTGTTTTTTTTTTTTATCTTTATTACTTCCAGCTGCGCTAATCAAGGCTCCGTAAGCTTTATCCTTATACAACCTCACTCATGATGTGAAACAACTAAAACAGTTTATGCTGTTCAGTATTCAAATGTTTTATTTAGATAATATCAAATTTATTAAAGGGCAAAAGACATTAATTTTTAATCCCATCATTATGAAGTCCAAGTAAATGTCATGGTGGAAATTCATCGTTCTGTAATATCTTTCTGTGGCTTGTAGGAAACATTTAGATAAGCATGGAAACAACTCCATGTTGATTGCTGACAATGGGAAGACAGGAGAATATAGCTATTGATCCTTATAAATAGTGACACGTCATGGTTCACTGGAAGTTAGCAGAATGTTGTTAATCCCTCCTCAAAATGTGAGTGCTCTTAACTAATCAGTATCCTCAGGGCGAAACTTAATGACAGATCACAGTCACCATTTAGAGAAGCAGCAAAAGTAACTAATACCTCACCTTTCAGCCTTGTTAGTCTCACTATCTGACTCCCTTTTCGCCTTTCTCATCTCATTTCCGCTGTCAGAGTTTGCCCTCCGTCATTCTCACTTGTACTTATCAGAGCAGACGTTTGGATAATGGACAAAGCTACTGGCGGACTTCTAAATTCAGTCATCCTCGGTGACCCCTGACCTGGCCTTTCCATCTTTACAAATGAGAGGTTGGGCAGATAAGCCGTCCCCTGCCCGGCCATATATTGCCCCAGAGCTATGCTAGCTCTCGCGGTGATAAGTCCCCATGGAGTTCAGAGGGCACACAAACAGGCCACCCTCATCTCCTGCTTTGTGTATCCCACATTAGCTCTCTCAGTTCTGTTGTATTTACGCCCCCGTCTAAGTGCTTTTCAAGTACCCTTGTTTGGCTGGACTCACTCCATCATTTCCTGCTTTCCAACTCTCAATAATATCTCAAAAAAATTATGTAAACCTACATCAGTTAGACTACATGGAAATTGGAGGCAAAGGAGGTGGTGCAGAGGGAAAAGGGGGATAATTAGTCTCTGATTGGTCTCCACATTGGCTTCAGGAAAACAAAGGCCCCAGTAACAGCACTGGTGAGATAATGCTCTCTCTGAGAGCAGGCCCTATTTTTTCCTGTTAGGGAAAAATGTGTCTCACACCTTACATCAGAGATAGTCTCATGAAGAGAGAGGGCTAGTACGTAATGGTCAACAGCTGGCTTTACACAGCCTGTCTGCAAGGACAGCGTTCAAAGTTTCTTTTTATGGGTGTGAGTAAATGAGAGAGCATGGGAGGACATGGGCCAAACATAAAGGAGTTAAAGGATTTAACTCAGTGGAACCTTACGAAAATGTAGACAAGTTAATTAGCGAGCATTTAAGGACAATCACTGAGAGATGAGAGGATGAAATCAGGGACTGCTGCTCAATGACAGGACAAAATACACGTAAACACTCGACCAGCAAACTGTTGGAGAAGAGACAGTGCGCAGGGTACAAGAGAGGACAAAAATAGTCAGGGAAACTCTCACAAAACCACAACACTAGATTCCTTAAAGTTTATATGCTGTTTAATTCCTCTGTTACAGTCATGTGAGTCCTTTCAGGCAGATCCGGAAATGTTTAGAGAAACATTCAAAGTGCACTTGGTTTTTTGAACACTTTGAAAATGACCTCATCTACCATGCTGACAACAAACTATCCAGTTTAGCCAGGTTCAGGAAGCAGACTATTAAATGGAAAATCAGCCCGATAATATTGGCCTCGCCGAAACCTTTAGATAGTTTAGTTTATTTGCCAACAATTGCGGATCAGATACAAACTGTTCCATAACTTAGCACTGGTTCCACTGTCTCTTGGGAACATTGAATGAATCAGTGTTAGTGTAGGTTATAAACAACATTAGGAGTTAAGAGAGGAAGTCCTTCGCTCTGAGGTTTCTAGGAAACCTTTAACTCGGGGTAATTTATTTTAAGTGTCACACTGTTAGCTGCCACTGTGGCATGTTGCTCTTTGACTGCTGTTTGGCTTAAAAGGCTCATAAACCACCTGCTGCATACATTAATGTAAGGTATAGAAAATGACAATTAATAGCTGTGTCTGTTTTACACATCATGCATGTGTAACATTTGATTTAAGCGAGGTGATTGAAAATTTGACCACTGGATTTTTGTGCAAATCTTGTCCGTGTCTCTAAACAATCCTGCTTTATATTTAAAGTTATACTGTGCAGGCATTTTCACTTACTGTTCTGAAACAATATTGCCAGCGCAAGTGAAAGTAAAAGCCAACCCCAGATTTAGTCTTGTTTGTTATATTTAGGTTCATTTTTTTGGCGCTGGTTCCTGATTTTCGTAGCCTCCTCTTGGACAGTCTGGCGCCTTGTCTCACTACGTTTGAGTAAACTTCTGACCTCACCTGCGCTCTGAACATAGCAAAATAATAATAATAAAAAACCTACAGGCAGAGGGCAGAGTCTCTGCAGAGAAATACACCACCACACACGCCTAGTTGCTCATAAGGGATGATTGAGAGGGATTACATTTCTACATATACAGAAAATCCTGCATGGTGTACCTTTCAAGTAGTAATACCTTTTGGCAGATGATTTTGATCTTATTTGCTTTTTAATTTATCTGCTTGTGCTTTCTTAGGAAGGACACAGGTGATCAACCAGACTTCCTTTGTGGATATGGCTATGGTTGGAATCACCACCACCACCACCATCAGCTCCACCACCTCCATCCCTTTACTGGAGAGTAGCACCACTATGCTAACACCACCATCTGAGACTGTATTGGAGTCAGAAGAATCAACAGATGATCCATCCATGTTTTCTACCAGTATGACTCCACCTCGCCCCACACCGAAAGGCCAAGAAGAAGAGTTAATCACCACAGTCGCGCCCACCATCAAAGAGGAACATGAAGACACTGATGATGTAACAGCTGCACCCGACTTTGATTTTGATGACTTTAGTAATGTAACCTATATAGAAGCCATTCCCCACCGTGGTGACACATTCCCAGAACCCCAGCACACAACAGAGAGCACTGACTCCACAGAGTCAGTGGACCAACCCTTCGAGGAGCCAGACGATCACTCAGTCATTGAGATCAGCACAATCCAGCCTGATGTCCCCATACCAGACGCCTCTCTCAGCACGGAGCCTATGTTTGCAAAGGGGAACACTGAGGAAACCATTCTAGATTCTATCATCACCACAGTCACCGACCTCGCAGACACCCCAACAGACTCAACTGAACTGACCAGCGAGGAAGTGGTCAGCCCCTCAGAATCACCCTCAACCGCTGCCCCTTATTCAACAGTACCATTCCTTGACTATGATGAGATTGAGACAGGTTTTGCTCCAGAGGCACTGCCACCTGCTCAGCCACCCCAACCAGACCTCTCATCCAGCCCATCAGACAGCACTAGTATGGATGAAACATTTCCCTCAGCCATTCCCACTGACACCACCTTTATGTGTAACACCCAACCTGGCAGTGAGTTGGAGATCACCACCACCACCACAGCACCGCCAGAAACTACCAGCACTGCCACACAAACCTCACCTCAAACTCAGGATGTAGAGACACCGGCTGTCGTCTACAAGGACGACTCCACATCTGCAGATGTGGCAGGTGCCACCATCCCAATTGACGTTGGAACCTCAGCCGAAGACGTGACATCGCAAACAAGTGTGGTTGTCTTTGGTGAGACTACCACTCAAGTACCAGTGCCAGCCCGTGACTTCTCGACAGAAGACGACACAGCAGCAGAGATAGACACAGAGTTCTTCACATCTGCTCCCGGGGCTTCAGCTGTGGGCGAAACCACCATCACTACCACGCAGAATGTATCAGGTAAGACACATCAACATATATATATACATCAGTATAGTCGACCTTTGGAGTTTCATGTGGTAACTTTGTATTCAGTGCAAATGATTGTAGTTTATATGTAGTTCAGATTTGGTTGTGCAAATAGGACATGACATGACTTGATCTTCATTTACCACAACAATGAAATGGTGAAAAATTGGACTAAATTACAAAATCATGTTGAACATAGTTGAAGCTTTTCCCGGCATTGTTTTAGGCCAGCCCATAATTTACTGAAGTCTAATGAGTTCTGCAATTCAGCCTATCCTAAAATACTGTGTGTCCATTTTACTTGAGGGTGATAAGAATTTCTTGGTCTATATTGTTTTGCTATTTCTTACTAGTTGTGCTGGTTTGTTTAGAATTTGATATCGCTCAGCCTTTTTGCATTCTTTATCATAACGTTGCATTGTACAGTAGCTGGGAGTAGGGGGGAGGCTGTGCTGTCCAGGGTGCTGAAGTAGAGAGAAAGTTTTATTTTGTCTGCCAGTGATATGTATAGTGGGTGGAGTACTCTAATGTCATGTAAACACAGCATAGGGCCTCTGCTGCTGGACAATGGGATTTTTGTCATTTAATTCAGCCAGCTCAAATCAGGCTCAAACAAAAACTGCTATTGTCCTTTTTTCCCTGTATGACTTTACTATTATTGCTAGATAAGTTAAATGTGAAACAACAAGATTTAGTTAAGGTTTGCTCCGAATTAAACGGCAATCCACAGCACACCGGTGCTCCTGTTTGCATGGTGAGTCAATTCTTTGCATGTTAAGGTCTTCCACAATTCAAAAGTGTTTTGTTTTCCGGTTCCCTCTGCCTCGTGTTTGTGTGCATTCTCAGTGTGGACTGCTGCTGAAAGGCTTTTTAGCCGTAGGACCTCCTCAGTCAGTCCAGCTGAGCAGATGTCCTGATAGTAATTGTGACACACTGTAGACAAGAGAGAGAAAGATGTGGGAAAGGCAGGAGACAGCAGTAGATAGATTGGGATCAGGATTATATCACAAATAAAGTATTTAAAAGACACAAGTTTTAGAACTTGGCTGTTATAATCTGTTATTGTAATTACTAGAGCAGTGCCCGTTCATAATATCTCTATTCAGAACGGACTGATAGTTTGGCCTGTGCTACTGCTGCTTACAGCTTTCCTGACAATGGCTCATACAAACAACTTCACACTCGACACTGTGCTTCCTTTGGTCCTGAGCAACACACCTGGGCCTCTAACAGCTATAGATTAATAATGGTGGTTAGGTAGAACAAAATGAATTATGTTGCTATTCTAACCCACTATACCCCAAAAATAATATACAAAAGGCACCCAAAGAACTTAAAAAATATGCCATTCAAATGTACCAAATGTGTTCTACTGCAGAGGAAAACATTTTAATAGTACGTTTACCTGACAGTGAAATGTTACTGGTTTTGTTGCAGATTCAGTTTCTGCTCAGAAAATACAAGTAAAATATGACTAATTATTTTGATTAAACTATGCAGCATTATATTTGAATTTAAAGCTCCACCTTGAACAGATGTTTAGTACATTTATGATGGAGAAAATGTGAAAAGTAAGCAAGATGGTGTTTGTCTGGGGCCCCAAAATCACCAAACCTCTCCCTGAAAAACACACCCGTTGTGGCTACTTGCAGTCAGAAACACTGGTGAAATACACTTAGCGCAGTGGTTCCCTATTGGTCCAGCCACAGTTCACACAGGTCCACACAGTCTAATAGATTCAGCGTCATACTTGCGTTTGGCCATGTCATCAAGCTAGTTTGCTGTCCCTGTCAAGTAGCTGTCTGTTAGTCACTCACTCTACAGCAGGAAACTGCACTATTCACTGAGTGCTGATCCCTTTTTTTTTGTTTTTTTTTTATTAGAGCACAAACTTCTTGTGTTTATTTGAATGAATAAATAAAAGCTCTGTGCTGGAAATTTACTTTACTTCAAAATAAAGTGTGTATTTTTTTTACAAACTGGACACATTCTTGAGTCACTTGCGGTCTTTTCAGAATGGATCCGCGACCCACTTTTGGACTGCAACCCACCAGTTGGGAACCACCGACTTAGCTGATATATTAATTTCCAAATAGGCATATTAGTTGCTTGCTTTGAAGTAACCACTGCAGTTATGAAGCAGAGCATGGATTTAATTAGCAGAGGTATTTTGCCTTCTGAAGTGTTAGTATTCAGAAGTTAGTGTGGCAAACTTACACAATGCACATAGGTGAAAACATGCTTGACTCAATTCGCACCACTGCTATTATTAAAGGAAAGCAGTAACATTATTAGTGTTATATGTTAATATGGCAAAGAAAAATACACGCAAGTACTCGTGGTCAGAAAGTTAGGTGAAATACACTCATTCGACTTCTCTGAAGCCTCGCCCCGCTGCTGCACAGAACCACAGACCACTGTTAAGTTGTTTATTTAACACTGACTAACATTGTCTAAATCGTACTAAATTCAACACTGCAGGTCCTTGGGTCCCCAGCAATACACCTGCTAAGTGTGAAGTAGATCAGAGGAGCAGTTCTCGAAATATGCAAAGGACATACACACTCATATACACGCAGAGATTCCTTGCTTTATAGTTGGATAATTATATAATCCGTATTTCTGCTTATTTGTGGTGATCCATGGATGACTAAAATGTTCCTATTTAGTTCTGCCAATTATGTTGTTGTAGACATGGCTTGGGTTTATTTTGTTACAGCAAATTGAAAATTTTAAAGTACATATTTAGGCCATGACTTTCAGGTCAACAGCTCATGATCTCACATGCAAAAAGCAGCTGCATCATTTTGTACTCCTTTAATTTGCTCTCCATCTGAGCTGCAAACATTGCCACGGTGACTCATTCCTTGTCCCTGTAGTGCAGCTCTTGGTGAATGAGAGGGATCTGTTGAATTGGAAAGGACTCAAGTGGATGAATTGGTCATTTGGCAGTTTTTGGAATTTGGTCTGGATTCATGGTAAAGGTGCCTTTGAGAGAGCAGCAATCTGTTCTCCAGGTTATTCACACTCTAAACTTCTGGTGTGTTCATCAGCACTGTTTATATGTAGTGTGGTCAGTTTAGTTGCTAGGAGTGTATGTTTGTGTGTGCATGCATGTGATAGAGATACAAAATCTGTGTGTGTGTGTTTTTATGCCTCATGTGTATTTGTACCGCAAGTCACTGTGCACTTGCAGAATTTCTTTCTTTGTGCGTGCTTGCACCAGCTCACTGACAGCCAGCCTGGCAGTGACAGAGTTATGTTGGCAGTCTACCTGAGTAAGCACAGATGCCTGTCTTCGGCACAGACTGGACACCACCTCAAGAGGTGATGTCATCGCTAACGCAAAGTCTCACCTCTCTGTGAGGACAGCTGGAGGCTGACTGACCAAAGCGAGTGATTATAGCTACTTTTACTGCATCATCATGTGATCTGGCTCAGCTGAGAACTCTTTCTGCCCTCCCAGTTTGTGTGGGAAAAGCTTGTGGAAAATATTGTCGCACAGGGAGAAGTGTGTTGTCTGGCTGCATGGTAACAAAGTGCGCAATAATATCAATGAATGAATATTTAGTGTTGCCCGAAATCTGTCAGTGTTATTGTCATGTGAACAGTGCCCATGTGTTTCTGATTAAATGAAGGCAATTAAATTCACTGTTTACCAAGTGTTTATATGACATATTATGAAATATCGATCTTCTGAGGCGTGCAAACCGCATATGTTACAAAACAATACACAAAACCACCAACAGTACTGTCTTACTGTAAATAAAACATCTATTTAAAGGGATCGTTCAGATCCTTTGAAGTGGGGTTACATGAGGTACTCATCCATAGTCAGTGCATTAGATACAGTAGAGGTTGGTCGGCATGCTGCCAGTTTGGAAAAGCAGACAGAAGCACCACCACGGAAGCAGAGTACAGTAATGTGCTCTGTGGACGGAGTCAACAGCAATATTTTAGACATCTAAAAAAAAAGTAAAAACCACTTGCAGTTTAAGCATAAGCTATTGTGAGAACATTTTCACCACTTTACCACGCTCAGTTATTTCCGATGGTGAAGTTACCGGCTTCAGTTACCCATCTATGCTCTTGTCAAAGCCACCAGACTCCATTGAGAGAAACAGTTATGTTAGCTAACTGAACACAGGAGCTGCTGGTCTACTGATTTCTCGATCAGTTTGTTTGATTGTGTTACTGTGGGACTTTGGTGAATACGAGCCAGCCCTTTTAAATGACAAAGTTCTGTTTTTCTCAATGGAGTCTGGCTTTGAAGAGAGCGATATAATGGCTTCAGTTTCCCATCAGAAAACACTGACAACGATGTGGCAGAAATATTCTAAATGTAACGTACACTTAAACTGATATTGATTCTTTTTAGGTAGGAATTTTTTAGGTGACTAAAATCGGTTTTGTTGCTGTGGCTTCTGTGTTGGTTAACTTCCTGCTTCTCCAGACTGGTGGCATGAGGACTGACACTGACTTTGTGTAATACAGTAACATTGGATACCCCACTTCAAAAGATCCAAACTAACCCTTTAACATTCAGCTCACTAAAGCTTACAAACTGATCATTAAAGGAACAGTTTGACATTTTGGGATATACACTTATTCACTGTCTCAGGGAGCCCAGTCTCGTTCCGAAGTCGTCAAAATCTGGCGCCTTGGCAGTGTCTTGCGGGGTCAGAAACCAATGGCAAAAAGGCTCCCTTTAACATTGGCATGATATGTGGCTTGTTGCTGTTGTAGTTTAATGGTGCACTACGGTGTCAGGGGGAAACACGGTGGGACAAAGACAAAAATTAAGGTGGTGAAAGTCCAAATCGGGCAGGCGGGAGTGGTGGTGGATGGGTCCAACAAACATTGACTTTACCCGAGAGAGTGGTGTTCACATCCCGTAAAATTTTAAAGCCAAGCCCTGTTCTTTTTTCCTAAACCTAACCACATGTTTTTGTTGCCTAAACCCATCCACGTGTGTTTGATGTTGAATGAAAAAAAAAAAGTCAATTCATGGTTTTGTACCGATGTAATTTTCCCAGTGAAAATGGAAGTGTATGTTGAAAGAAGACAATGCATGTAACTGGCAGAATTTGACACGGTGTCCCACGTCGTCAACAACCAACGCACCCAGGGTACCTTGCACATCATATGTGGACGTGGAAAGTCCATGACCAAAACATCAATATGTGATGAGGTTGAGAATATGTTGTCTCAGGAGCAAAAACTTCCTGGGGTCTCCACTGTTTGCCTGGCAACTGGTCCTGCACAGGAAATAGTCCAGCATGTCACCCTGTGAATTGTTGTTTGTTTGTTGTAGCTGTTGGACAGAGCCAGGCTAGCAGTTTCCTGCTGTTTCCATCTTTATGCTTAGCTTAGCTAATAATTAACCATCTGAAGCTAATTGCTTGTGGAGGTATTTATTTGTTTTGTACAGCTGGGTTTGTGCCTCACCCCACAGTGAAGATAAAACAGGCTAGTGCTTCTGTGAGCTACTTTGACTTTGACATTCATGTTTAATGTGGCTTTGGAAGCTTCAGCACATCCACCTGACCATAGGAAACAGCTTTGCATGTGTGTATGTGTGAGAGAGAAAGAGAGATTAGGGTAGTGTGTGAGGGTCAGTCAGTCAGGTGGGTCCGTGGCCTGAGTTCCCATGCCTGGCCTGGGTTTTAAACAGGTGTCTTTTTGCAGAGCTGAGCTGATGCAGGTGTTCTTGTTTGCAACCAATAATCTTTGTGAATCACCATTTGTGGGAAACAGAGAGAGGGGACAGGGGTAAGATAGAGAACCAGAGAGAGAGAGTAGTAAAGTTTGTATACTAAAGGATTTCAGATTGTTGTGTGTGAATAATCTTTTCCTTCTCTTTGCTTGTACTGTTTCATGCAAATACTGGTAAATAGTTCAGACCCAATAGGACTACGCTGTTCATTCTAGGATTAACTATAATGGCTCTGTTCTTTTTGCCACCTGTCTGATGCATATTATCGGATTTATAAAAAACTTGGTGCCATGGCTCACTCTCAAGACTTTTTTTTGTTTTTTTCAATCAGTGAGGGAAAACAAAGCTGGAATGCCTGTTCAAAGTGAGTCAGAGAGATGAAAAATGATTTCCAGAGACGAAGGGCTTTTGTTTGGGCCACCCTTCATGTTCGACATGTTCTTCTCTACAGACCCATTCTGTGGACATTCAGTGGGTGTCAGTGGTTTAAAGAAAGGGGCATGGACTTAAACCCCTTTCTCATCTTCAAAGGTTATGATTGGCATCTATTTGTTCACAAAATGTAGCTTTAACAGCTTTAGTATCTTGACAGTTGGTTTTGTGTAGTAGTTTAAGGCAGCTATCTTTTAGAGGAGATGGATTATATCCAGCCAGACAGCATCTTGTTTATTTATAGAAATAGATAAACCCATTTAAGGCAACACAGCGTAGGTGGATGAGGATAAAATTGTTGCATGCTGTGAAGGGAATTGAACGCTGTTTCTGTGTTAGACTTGAAATTAAGAGCAGACAGCTGCTGACATCTGAAATCACTTCTGTGGAACTCTATAAAGAATATATATCGAGTGGACATGATAACACAAATACTTTCAAAACGTTATGTTATCCCAATCAATAGTCCTACTATGATATTTCACCTTTGTGGTGGTTAGAGATTTTATGTTGTTTTGGGCTTGTATTACACAGTGAGGTGTTCATGTTTTATATCTTGCATATATAAGGATATGTTCTGAAATTGGTCATTATGATATATGCGATAAATGTTGTCGGCATACTAAATATACAAAAAATTATATTTGTTTTCAGAGAAGACAGGGCCATTTTACCTCTGATGTCATCAGTCTTGTAAATATTATTATTAGTACCTTTAAATTAACTGATCTGACTTTGTTACTATTGTCGAAGGACTTTGAAATGTCAGTGCAAAAGTGGCCTCTTGATAATATTTTCTTTTCACATCATTTTAGACTATAAATCTTTGAATTATGGTTTGGATGCAGTTCAGACACAAATATGTTTGAGAGAGATTTATTTGCAGTGTTTTGCAATGTTTGTTTATTTCGAAATTTTAAAGGAATTATTTTGTGAGAATACTCATAAGAACAGTAAATGCTCTGTTTCTGTGACAATCATCACTTTTTCTTTCTAAATCACAATTTAAAAACATAGAAATTCAGGTTAATTTTTAATATGTAGTTTAAACATTATGCTTCACAAGCATGCAGACACAGAACCCCCCAATCAATTTATGCTTTTTTATTAGTCCCTCTCTGCCTTGTAAAGGTCAGTGTCTTTTTCAGTTTTTGTAACACTGGCTGTTTGTTACAGAATTTGTTGTCTCCTAGTCCAAGCCGAGATAATCCTGGTGACATCACCGGGGTTTATTTTCTTAGACTTGACAACGTTTGCTCCAGAGCAACAGTCCAGAACCACCAAAGTCACGCAGTTGTAATCGCCATGTCTACTATAATTAATTGTAATGTGTAAAAATGGTGGAGTTCCCCCATAAAATTAATTTTAAAGGAGCCTTCCCCAAAGCTCCTTTCTCATGAACTGATGTATTTTGGCATTTTTACACTGGCAATGAAAACCTAATGTGACGTGCATGATAGTGTGACTGTATAATGATAGAAAGTCATACCTACCACTCCCAGGACTTTAGAAATAAAAGGCTGTTTTTTATATATTTATTTTTATTCAAAAACTTCACCTTCAGTTGCTTTGTAATCATAATCTGCCCATATTTTCATTTATTTTCTTTGCAGTTGACCTGACTCTACAGCCACAAGTCTCTCAGACTCCTGCCATACCAGTTGTGCCTGACCATCCCAGCCCTTCCATAGCTGATGGGGAGCCCATCCTGCAGAGTGGAGACCCAGACCTTTCCTCCCAAGCTGCGGTAACCATCACTCCAGCTGTTAGCTTTGTAAATGGCAAACATGAGATCACACTGGAGCCACAGAGCCCAGACGAAAAAGAGGTCAAAGGTACCCAGATTCTGACAAATGTGACAGCTCTGGGAACGAGCGATGAAATAACCACAGTGTTTGATTATAGTTGGACTGATGTCCCTGTTGATAGCTACACTGAGTCTACAGAGTCTACAAAAGAAACAACAGCAATACTGACCTCTACAGAGGTCCCAGATGTTGATGAGTATGACCCTGATATAATCCCACTAGTTGAATCAACATCTCCTCACATACTCCTTGAGGAAGATGGGCTGACCACAAAAGGCCCCACACAGAAAGACACAACCTCTGTACCAGCCTCAAGAGCGGAGGAATCGAAAACCACACAAAAAACTGTAGCTGGCCCAGCTGCCACAGATGCCACAGAGGGTATAAGCGATGTCAGAGCTACCTCTGCTGACTTTGTTCCTTCAGTGACTCCAGCTGAGCCACAGATCACCAAAGCAACAGGAGAAACCCAGACTACAAAAGCTGATAAGGAAACCACCTCTGTCATCACCACATCTGAGCAAGAAGAGGTAGGAGAGTTAGGGAGGACTCCCACGTATGCTAAAGGTGACTCAGAAGTGACTCAGACAGAAAGGGCTATGGACCAAACCCCTGTTACTTCTTCAACCGAGCTTTACACAGGCAGAGATACAGCTGAAACCACAGAGGACACAAAGAGCACATCTGCCACTCCAGCTGCCGAAGACAGCACTCAGTCTACGTTACAGACTGTGTACACTCCCTCCTCTGATGACGCTGATGGGAAAACACCAACATCAACAACGAGTGACTCACAGAGCTCCACTCAAGATGTGGAGGGAGGGAAAGAGACCCAAACCCCAAAAGAATTTGCCTTCAGCACAACGGCTCCTTCAGTATCAAGTAGTTCAGCCTCTCCTGAACAGACAGCCAAGACTGAGATAACACCAGCTATAGATGTAGGCAGCACTGAATCATCAGCATCTCTAGCACCCACCCTGGCTGAAACTTCAGAGGATACAGTCACAAGTCAGGAAGGGAGTACAGCCAGCAAAATGCTGTCCGTCTCACCTACTGAGAAAGTTGCGACTGATGCAATGTCTACACCAGAGGAGGAAGGTTCAGGAGTTCAAACAGTAAACATGTTTACAACTGGCCCAACATCACATACCTCTGCAGGGACTGCAACATCATCTTCAAGTTTGAGTTCTACATGGGAGAGTGGAATACCATCACAAACAGTAGAAACAGCAAGCACAGATAAAACACCCACCACTATGGATGAGGAGTGGAAACAAGGTGAGACAACAACTCCCCCCTCTGATGAATTCACTGCAACCACTGCCCCCCCCTTATATAGTGCTATTGAAATGATCAAGACAACAATGGCCTCATTCACTGAATATTTCAGTCAGTACTCAACACAAAGTACATCACTAATGACTGAATTACCTGAGGAGACTGCCACTGGTGTCACAGATGAAGACACACAAAATCAAACTTTCTCACCTGCTGCAATCTCAAGCATAACTGAAGACACAAAACAGATACAAACTCAAACAGTGACCTCAGTAAGTGGCATTACGAAGATGGGTTCATCACATCCTAGCACTGTTGGTCAAATTACAGATGACCAATCTTCTGGCACAGCACCAACAGAAGCGAGTACAGCAGCTACCATGCTCAGCACAGAGAAATCAGTTATAGGAACAACAAAACATGAAACAGCTTATGGTTCAACCACAGCTGGCACGATAGCTCCTTCTGCTTTCAGCACTGAGATACCAACATTAGTATCACAAGAAATGTCAGAAATCACAACAACTGACCAGATATTAGTGGTGTCTGAGTTTAGCTCCATTTTCACAACCACAGATGAGGTGAGTTCTGACAGCCAGACAAAATTACCTGAAACATCAAAGAGTGGAATTACAGAAACAATGGTAAAACTGTCAGAATCCCAGATCACATTAAGTACTACATCTGCTCCTACTGGTGCAATGAAGACATTCTTAATACCAACTTCTGCGTTTGAAGAAAGCTCAGGCAAACAGACAACTGAAATATCAAGTAAAGAATTTTTAACATCTGCAGCTTCCTCAATCCCAGATATGTCTGCTCAGACATCTTTTGCTCCAGAAACATCTTCTTTATCCAAGACTGAGACACAAAAAACAGTTATATCACCCGGGACCACAGAAAGTTTAGAAACAGAATCGATAATCACAACTTCTACTGTTTCTTCAATGTTGAGGACTGATTCAACATCATTTCCAGCATCACATGAAACTGCAACAAGTGATACTTCAAAAACAACTGTTACACCTCCTACATTAATCTACATTACTGTGAAACCAAGCTCAGTGTCAACTAAAACGAAACAGACGGTAACCACAACTCAGACTGACAAAGCATCAGTAACACCAGAGGCAAGTTCAACTTTAGCAACAACACAGAGCTCAGTTGTGGAGACTGAGGTGTCCAGCAAAGATGCAACAGCTCCTACAGCTTCCTCGTTGTTTAGCACTGAGAAGCCAACAGTACCACCAGTTGAGGAAGAAGACAGGACTGTCACAGATCAGACAGAGAGGTCCTCAGTGTCGTCCATTACTGATGAGACAGAGCAAAGTTCCATTTTGACTCCAGTAGATGAAATTGCCTCTGGTGACCAAACACCTGACACTCCTACCTTTTCAATCACAGGTACATCCTCTCTCTTCAGTACTGAAGCACCAACAGCAATGTCACCTGGAATAACAGAAAGTCTTGAAACAGATAAGACAAAAGTTCCATCGATTACAGGAGAACCATCAGTTTCTCCGATTTCTGTTGAGACACTGACAAGCTCAACAACAGTGTCTCCACGTTTGGCCTCCACTATATCTGTTGTCACAGACACTGAGGATGATGTCACCAGCAGTAGGTCTACAATGGTGGAGTCCATTCCTTCCATCAGTGGAGCAACCTTAAGCCCTGAAACAGCGTCATTCCTCATGACCACAGAAGGAGAGGGTTCTGGAGATGGCACTGAGGTGCTCGCTGAAGAGTCACTCATCACAGCAACCACTGTCTCTTCAATGCTAAGTACAGCGTCACCATCAGTGGCAGTATCAGGTGAAACTGAAACAAGTGATTCTTCAAAAACGGCTGTTACTCCAGCTTCATCACTTTACAGTACTGAGAAACCAAGCTCAGTGTCACCTGAAACAAAAGAGACAATAACCACAAGTCAGACTGACAAAGCATCAGTAACACCAGAGGCAAGTTCAACTTTAGCAAAGCATGAGGAGACTGAGGTGTCCAGCAAAGATGCAACAGCTCTGACAGCTTCCTCGTTGTTTAGCACTGAGAAGCCAACAGTACCGCCAGTTGAGGAGGAAGACAGTACTGTCACAGATCAAACAGAGAGGTCGTCAGTGTCATCTGTTACCTATAAGACAGAGCAAAGTTCCATTTTGACTCCACTAGATGAAATTGGCTCTGGTGACCAAACCCCTGACACTCCTACCTCTTCAGTCACAGGTACATCCTCTCTATTCAGTACTGAAGCACCAACAGCAATGTCACCTGGAATGACAGAAAGTCTTGAAACAGATAAGACAAAAGTTCCATCAATTACAGGAGAACCATCAGTTTCTTCAATCTCTGTTGAGACACTGACAAGCTCAACAACAGTGTCTCCAAGTTTGGCCTCCATTATATCTGTTGTCACAGACACTGAGGATGATGTTACCAGCAGTAGGTCTACAATGGTGGAGTCCATTCCTTCCATCAGTGGAGCAACCTTGAGTCCTGAAACAGCATCATTCCTCATGACCACAAGAGGAGAGGGTTCTGGAGATGGCACTGAGGTGCTCGCTGAAGAGTCACTCATCACAGCAACCACTGTCTCTTCAATGCTGAGTACAGGGTCTCCATCAGTGGCAGTATCAGGTGAAACTGAAACAAGTGATACTTCAAAAACTGCTGTTACTCCAGCTTCATCACTTTACAGTACTGAGAAACCAAGCTCAGTGTCACCTGAAACAAAAGAGACAGTAACCACGAGTCAGACTGACAAAGCATCAGTAACACCAGAGGCAAGTTCAACTTTAGGAACAACACATGAAGAGAGCTCAGTTGCGGAGACTGAGGTGTCCAGCAAAGATGCAACAGCTCCTACAGCTTCCTCGTTGTTTAGCACTGAGAAGCCAACAGTACCACCAGTTGAGGAAGAAGACAGTGCTGTCACAGATCAGACAGAGAGGTCCTCAGTGTCGTCCATTACTGATGAGACAGAGCAAAGTTCCATTTTGACTCCAGTAGATGAAATTGGCTCTGGTGACCAAACCCCTGACACTCCTACCTCTTCAGTCACAGGTACATCCTCTCTCTTCAGTACTGAAGCACCAACAGCAATGTCACCTGGAATAACAGAAAGTCTTGAAACAGATAAGACAAAAGTTCCATCAATTACAGGAGAACCATCAGTTTCTTCAATCTCTGTTGAGACACTGACAAGCTCAACAACAGTGTCTCCAAGTTTGGCCTCCATTATATCTGTTGTCACAGACACTGAGGATGATGTTACCAGCAGTAGGTCTACAATGGTGGAGTCCATTCCTTCCATCAGTGGAGCAACCTTGAGTCCTGAAACAGCATCATTCCTCATGACCACAAGAGGAGAGGGTTCTGGAGATGGCACTGAGGTGCTCGCTGAAGAGTCACTCATCACAGCAACCACTGTCTCTTCAATGCTGAGGACAGGGTCTCCATCAGTGGCAGTATCAGGTGAAACTGAAACAAGTGATACTTCAAAAACTGCTGTTACTCCAGCTTCATCACTTTACAGTACTGAGAAACCAAGCTCAGTGTCACCTGAAACAAAAGAGACAGTAACCACGAGTCAGACTGACAAAGCATCAGTAACACCAGAGGCAAGTTCAACTTTAGGAACAACACATGAAGAGAGCTCAGTTGCGGAGACTGAGGTGTCCAGCAAAGATGCAACAGCTCCTACAGCTTCCTCGTTGTTTAGCACTGAGAAGCCAACAGTACCACCAGTTGAGGAAGAAGACAGTGCTGTCACAGATCAGACAGAGAGGTCCTCAGTGTCGTCCATTACTGATGAGACAGAGCAAAGTTCCATTTTGACTCCAGTAGATGAAATTGGCTCTGGTGACCAAACCCCTGACACTCCTACCTCTTCAGTCACAGGTACATCCTCTCTCTTCAGTACTGAAGCACCAACAGCAATGTCACCTGGAATAACAGAAAGTCTTGAAACAGATAAGACAAAAGTTCCATCAATTACAGGAGAACCATCAGTTTCTTCAATCTCTGTTGAGACACTGACAAGCTCAACAACAGTGTCTCCAAGTTTGGCCTCCATTATATCTGTTGTCACAGACACTGAGGATGATGTTACCAGCAGTAGGTCTACAATGGTGGAGTCCATTCCTTCCATCAGTGGAGCAACCTTGAGTCCTGAAACAGCATCATTCCTCATGACCACAAGAGGAGAGGGTTCTGGAGATGGCACTGAGGTGCTCGCTGAAGAGTCACTCATCACAGCAACCACTGTCTCTTCAATGCTGAGTACAGGGTCTCCATCAGTGGCAGTATCAGGTGAAACTGAAACAAGTGATACTTCAAAAACTGCTGTTACTCCAGCTTCATCACTTTACAGTACTGAGAAACCAAGCTCAGTGTCACCTGAAACAAAAGAGACAGTAACCACGAGTCAGACTGACAAAGCATCAGTAACACCAGAGGCAAGTTCAACTTTAGGAACAACACATGAAGAGAGCTCAGTTGCGGAGACTGAGGTGTCCAGCAAAGATGCAACAGCTCCTACAGCTTCCTCGTTGTTTAGCACTGAGAAGCCAACAGTACCACCAGTTGAGGAAGAAGACAGTGCTGTCACAGATCAGACAGAGAGGTCCTCAGTGTCGTCCATTACTGATGAGACAGAGCAAAGTTCCATTTTGACTCCAGTAGATGAAATTGGCTCTGGTGACCAAACCCCTGACACTCCTACCTCTTCAGTCACAGGTACATCCTCTCTCTTCAGTACTGAAGCACCAACAGCAATGTCACCTGGAATAACAGAAAGTCTTGAAACAGATAAGACAAAAGTTCCATCAATTACAGGAGAACCATCAGTTTCTTCAATCTCTGTTGAGACACTGACAAGCTCAACAACAGTGTCTCCAAGTTTGGCCTCCATTATATCTGTTGTCACAGACACTGAGGATGATGTTACCAGCAGTAGGTCTACAATGGTGGAGTCCATTCCTTCCATCAGTGGAGCAACCTTGAGTCCTGAAACAGCATCATTCCTCATGACCACAAGAGGAGAGGGTTCTGGAGATGGCACTGAGGTGCTCGCTGAAGAGTCACTCATCACAGCAACCACTGTCTCTTCAATGCTGAGGACAGGGTCTCCATCAGTGGCAGTATCAGGTGAAACTGAAACAAGTGATACTTCAAAAACTGCTGTTACTCCAGCTTCATCACTTTACAGTACTGAGAAACCAAGCTCAGTGTCACCTGAAACAAAAGAGACAGTAACCACGAGTCAGACTGACAAAGCATCAGTAACACCAGAGGCAAGTTCAACTTTAGGAACAACACATGAAGAGAGCTCAGTTGCGGAGACTGAGGTGTCCAGCAAAGATGCAACAGCTCCTACAGCTTCCTCGTTGTTTAGCACTGAGAAGCCAACAGTACCACCAGTTGAGGAAGAAGACAGTGCTGTCACAGATCAGACAGAGAGGTCCTCAGTGTCGTCCATTACTGATGAGACAGAGCAAAGTTCCATTTTGACTCCAGTAGATGAAATTGGCTCTGGTGACCAAACCCCTGACACTCCTACCTCTTCAGTCACAGGTACATCCTCTCTCTTCAGTACTGAAGCACCAACAGCAATGTCACCTGGAATAACAGAAAGTCTTGAAACAGATAAGACAAAAGTTCCATCAATTACAGGAGAACCATCAGTTTCTTCAATCTCTGTTGAGACACTGACAAGCTCAACAACAGTGTCTCCAAGTTTGGCCTCCATTATATCTGTTGTCACAGACACTGAGGATGATGTTACCAGCAGTAGGTCTACAATGGTGGAGTCCATTCCTTCCATCAGTGGAGCAACCTTGAGTCCTGAAACAGCATCATTCCTCATGACCACAAGAGGAGAGGGTTCTGGAGATGGCACTGAGGTGCTCGCTGAAGAGTCACTCATCACAGCAACCACTGTCTCTTCAATGCTGAGTACAGGGTCTCCATCAGTGGCAGTATCAGGTGAAACTGAAACAAGTGATACTTCAAAAACTGCTGTTACTCCAGCTTCATCACTTTACAGTACTGAGAAACCAAGCTCAGTGTCACCTGAAACAAAAGAGACAGTAACCACGAGTCAGACTGACAAAGCATCAGTAACACCAGAGGCAAGTTCAACTCTAGGAACAACACATGAAGAGAGCTCAGTTGCGGAGACTGAGGTGTCCAGCAAAGATGCAACAGCTCCTACAGCTTCCTCGTTGTTTAGCACTGAGAAGCCAACAGTACCACCAGTTGAGGAAGAAGACAGTACTGTCACAGATCAGACAGAGAGGTCCTCAGTGTCGTCCATTACTGATGAGACAGATCAAAGTTCCATTTTGACTCAAGTAGATGAAATTGGCTCTGGTGACCAAACCCCTGACACTCCTACCTCTTCTTTCACAGGTACATCCTCTCTCTTTAGTCCTGAAGCACCAACAGCAATGTCACCTGGAATGACAGAAAGTCTTGAAACAGATAAGACAAAAGTTCCATTGACAACAAGAGAACCATCAGTTTCTCCGATTTCTGTTGAGACACTGACAAGCTCAACAACAGTGTCTCCAAGTTTGGCCTCCGTTATATCTGTTGTCACAGACGCTGAGGATGATGTTACCAGCAGTAGGTCTACAATGGTGGAGTCTATTCCCTTCATCAGTGGAGCAACCTTGCGCCCTGAAACAGCATCTTTTTTGCCTGGATCAACGATATCATCTGATGACGCCAGTGAGAAAACACCTATATCTGGAAGCACTGACTCTCAAACCTCCACTCAAGGAGTTGAAGAAGGCAACGGGACCCAAACCCCCAACGAATTAGCTTTGAGCACAACTGCTCCTTCAGTATCAAGCAGTTCACCTTCTCATGAACAGATAATGACGACTGAGATAACACCAGTTATTGAGGTAAGCAGTCTTGACTCTTCAGCATCCCTTGCACCCACCCTGGCTGAAACTTCAGAGGATACAGTCACAAGTCTGGGAGGGATCACAACCAGCCAAATCTCTTCTGTCTCTCCTTCTGAGAAAGTTGTGTCTGATGCAATGCCTACACCCGACGAGGAAGGTTCCGGGCTTCCGACCGTGAACATATTTACAACTGCCCAACCATCACATATTTCTGGAGGGACTTTAACATCAAGCGCCACACATACAACAGTTCAGGCCCCATTGGACAGTGACATAACATCAGAAACAGCAGGGAAAGATAAAATATCTGTTCCTGACATTGATGAGTTGGCAAAATCATCAACAACAACAACTTTGTATGAGGAGGGGAAACATGATGAGACAACAACTCCTCCCTTTCATGAATCGATTGCAACCACTACATCCCCCTTCCACAGTGCCATTGAAATGATTAAGACGACAATGGCCTCATTCACTGAATATTTCAGTCAGTACTCAACACAAAGTGATATGACTGAGGTGTCCAGCAAAGATGCAACAGCTCCTACAGCTTCCTCGTTGTTTAGCACTGAGAAGCCAACAGTACCACCAGTTGAGGAAGAAGACA